GTAAATTCTCCTGTTGGTCATAAACCTCTAAAGTGTTGTCATCCTGAAAAATGAAATTAAAAAAGGGAAGAAGACAATGCCAGGACGCTCTGGTGGAGCTTGTACTGTTACAGCACAGCCCCACCTTGAGTCAGGGTGAGCTGGCCTTGATGGGTGATGCTGGAGATGGGTGCCGTGTTTCTCCCCTCCGTTGCCACTGTGTCCAGGACAAAACCACCCCTCCACATGGGGCATTGGCATTGCCAGGGGTTCATTTTTGTGCAGCCAACCTGCTGCTGAGCTTGTCACCCTTGTGTACTGCTGAAGCCACATCCATCTCCGTCACTGGTCAGCTCTTGCAAGAGTGATAGGTGAGCATATCCTTCCTGTGTACACCCTATTCTGCTGGGGGTCAGCAACCCCCCTGAGCAGGTGCTGGTAAGGCAGCAACATGCCAATAACAGATGCCAGAGCCATTGGTTTCCTCTGCTGTGGCACCAGGCAGTGTGAGCTGCTGGGGTTGTTTGTCGCTCACCGCCTCAGGCAGGGCACATGGGGGGTTGCTGCCCACCTATCCTCCTCATCTTCTGCCAGAGGCCACATTTTCACTTGCCATTGTTCACAGCCTGACCTACTGCTGTGAGTCAGCAAATGCAAGCTGGTAGCTCTGTCACGTTCACCACGTAGGAAGCGGGCAAACAGCCCAGAGGGATGGCATGGCTGGAGCCCAGTAGGACTATGAGCTGGGGCTGTCAGAAGGGACCTCAGAGAGGCAGCTCACCAACTCATGTTACCCCATGGAAACACCAGCATGGGGGATTTCCAAGATCCCCTCTATTTCTGAGGTGAAGCTTCTCCCAGCACTTGGGTTGCTGAGTCCCAAAGGCTATTCAGGATGCTAGTGTCTTCTAGCATCCTTCAAAGGGCTGAGCAGAGGTTCATTGATGACCTGAGCATGCCCCTCGAGGCCAATGCCCTGCTTGTGGGTGCAAGGATGGTAGCAGCCACCCTAGGGGAGGAGTCAGGGCTCATTCCTGGCATAAGCTCACCAGACCACAGCTTCTCTATGCTATAAACAGCAACTGCTTCACAGAAACTGCACAAAAATGAACCTTTGAGCTGGGGACAGGCTCTGGTAAGTGTCTGAGCCACCCAGCTACAGCATCAGGAACCTGCTCCCCATCTTCTTGCAGCTCCCAAAGTCTTGAACTCCTGTTGTGCTGCAGCACAGCACAACACCTCATCTGGAGTTCCCTCCTCCAGCTGCACAGGCCCAGTCCAAATGGGGGACCAGCCTTTGGGCTGGGAAAGTTGTTTTCCCCTAGGGCCAGCAAGGTGGCAGTTCCCTGTTTCCCCTTCCCCACTGAATGTCATCTGCTGCCTCAGGATCAGATGGGCTTCTGCTAGTGAGGTGAGCAGCAGGTCCCTCACTCCAGGCTGGGAGATGCTGCCAAAATTATTTCTGAGCAAATTTGCTAGGATCATCCCACAGCAAACTCCTTGCTGAAAGGCTCATCTCCTCTATGCAGTGTGCCATAGCTCAGGCATAAGTTAGGCTCTGAGGCATGTCCATGACACCAGTCTGGGAAAGCCCAGCATAAGCAGAGGCTGTTGCGGCTCTGGGTGTCAGCTATGAACAATGAATCTTCTACTCTTCTCTTCCTGAAAAAGGTCTTATGTTTTTTTCCTCTGAGAACCAACGTCCCCTCCTCCATTTGACAGTTTATAATTACCCAGAGCAACTGATCGGCCACTGCAGCATTTGCAACATCTGGGAGATCTTAAGGCATATCCCAGTCCAAGCTGCACTGATGTAATTGTTTTGCTGGGTGAAGGATGATAACTCTCCCTGCGTGTGTTTATACTCCTTCAAAATAATCCAATGGTTTTTTTGAGGCTCACTTATGTCAACACGTGCTTTATTGTGTCTTATGTGTGTTTAAAGTGCTGGGTGGAAGCAGCTGGAGGAGAAGTCCCCTTTCAAAGCATACCTCCACACGTTCTTTTTGAAGTAGCTTGTTGAATAAGGCTTTAATGGCTGTTTTGGAGGTGTCCAGACACACCACTAGGTTCAATATACTCATGAAAAACTAAAGAGAAAGAGATCCCCCAGAGCTTCAGAGGTGGAAGGGCTACACCTCTTCTTTCCGTGAGAAAACTTAAGAGCCTGTGACCAGAAAAGAACAAAGCTGTGCAAAGTCAGGCACTCTGCTACCCAAGCTCTGTACCAAGAACCAGCTCTGGGGAACAGCTGCCAACCTAAAAGTTGGCAGTTGGCCCAGCAAAAGATGCTGCTTCCAGCAGAAGTTGCCCTGAAGATCTGGGCAACAGAAGGGCTGATACTGATGCTGTTTAAGGTAAGCCAGGTGAACATGAGCTACCTCGTGCAAACATTAAACCACAAATCTAAATGTCTAATCTGCCACAATTACAACACCAGCCTTATAATAGGAATAGCAGCCTCTCTGTAAGACAGATGTAAAACATGTACTTTGAAAGGAAATATGCTCTGTTACTTTTCCCCTGGAATTTCTTTTATTCTGGTTTTTTGGTTCTGGTGGTTTGGGGTTTTTTTGTGTGGGTTTTTTTTTTGGTTTTGTTTGTTTTAGTTTGGGGTTTTTTTTAATAGAAAAATTAAGCATATCCGTTTGCTGCCAGTGACGACCTAGGTCCTGACTTTGCCCCGCTTTAGCCTAAGCGTTCCTAGGCAGGGATGACTACCTCCATCAAGCTCTGAAATGCTGATCTCACTCCTCCTCTGGTACCTCGGCTTTTGCAATGCACAGAGCAGAGCTGAGTCATTCCTCACCTGGCAGCAGAATGCATTTTGCTTTTTATCAGAGCCACCTCCACACTGCTGTGACAGTCTGGTGAGCTCCAGCAGGCAGCCTGGGCACAGAGCATTGCTGGGGGCCTGCCTACACACTGATGGAGTTTTCTTCCATCTTCTTCAGGATGAGAAACTGCAGCTGAGAAACATGGAGGATTTGGAGAATTTTTAGTTAATTGAAGTAAACCAAACATATCAAGCTGCTTTTATGACTATTTCATAACAGAATCTTTTTAAACTAATACTCCACTGGGGAACACAACTTGCAGACAGAAAACCCTCTGAAGTGCCTTGAAGAGATCTGAGCTTTGGACTCTGAACTTTGCTGCCTATAAACAATCACTTCAATCTGCTTGGCCGCAGTGGGAGTATGAGGCTTCATAAAAGGGCTTAGGTGTTGTAATACTAAGTGCAGCAGTGCTTAACTCCATGTCTCGCTATCCAGCCTCCCCATGCAATCCAGAAGATTTAGACACAAAGAACCAGATCTGTGCAGGCCAGTGGGGAACCGCTTTAGGAACGGCTGAGGAGAGCACAGCCCAGCTGTGCTGAGGTACCTCTTTCTGATCGGGTTTCAAAGTCCAGATCCTTTCCCAGCACAGGAACCAAAGCAGCACACTCTCATAAAAAAAAGCAACAGCAATTCCAGCACTTGCTTAGGGTTTGGAAGAGAAAGATCCAGTGCTCCTTTTTTGCTGCAGAGATGCAAGCATCCAAAACTCAGACCTACCCTACAGCTGTTGGGGCTTATTCTTGAAGCTGCTCTAGTTTTCACAAAAGGAAACAGATGAGGTTGGACCACAGGAGATGGGTACTTAGGCCATGTCCAGACATCATGGAGGCAGGACAAGGACAACTTGGGTTCCACTCATGTTAAGGTTCAATGGATGATCCTTAAATATTTTTTAGCAAAAACTTAAGCCTCAATCAGTGCCATGAACTTGGCAAAGTTAGGACACATAGGTGTCTCCCTCTGCAGTGGCCTGCAATCACCCTGGCCTTTGCCAAACCACTACATACCTCACTGCTCAGTATCATACTCAGTGATTCCATTTCCCAAAATGCATTCAACCGTGTTTGTGCATAAATGCATCAACTTCACCTCATCCTCACCATGCACCCTCAAAGCAGGCAAAGGGGATTGAGGTCTACTTATTTTCCTTATACTTCTTTCAGATCCCTGCACATGGTTTCCTAATCCTGGGTCTGTCTCAACCCCTCATCCACTCTGCATTCCTCACTGAAGCCCTTGGCATATCTCCTTGATCTGGGTGCCAGGCTTCAGGTATTACAGGAGAGAGCAGGGCAGAAGCTCATGGGCAGTCATTGCCCAAGCAGCCAAATGCCTCTAGGCAGGTGGAGTCAGGCATTGCCCTTATTTTGAAGCAGCTGGTACGAGCCCAGAAAGCAGCTGCAGCCAACCAACCAATAGTGTCTCCTGGTACAGTTCATTAGACCTTTCATGTAGAACAGTTGGCCAAAGGGACTAATAGCCCCACTTGCACTCCAGAAAATATGTAAGCTGGAGATCTAAAGCATTTTCAGAGAAGGGGAATGTGAATCCATACCTTTTGTGAAGAAAAAGGAACTGAGCCCACAGGCTGCCAGCATAAGATAGCTTTAAATCACCAATGAGCAGAAGGCACTGAGGGTTCCTTCTCCAGACACACCATGAGAACATCCACCTTGCCAGGAAGGCAGAGGTGCACGTGTTTTCTGGCACTCTGGGGCATCAGACCAGCATGTGACCTAATACCAGCACCACCAGAACTGAGGTTCTGGGTGAGCCAGGAACTACCTGACACTGAAGGAAGCTTACAGCTCTGCATAGCCTGCAGGAGAGTTTGAGGAAACAGAGTTTTGGGATCAGGCCCAGTTCAAGGGTACTTAGATGCTAACATAGGTTTTTTACAATGGAGTTGGTTGCCTACAGATTTTTCAAGACGTTAGCCCTTTGGGCCCTAGACCAGCTAAATGATGCTTTGAGAAGTGAAGAAGTCACCCTGGTCTCACGCTGGAGCAGCAGTGGCTCAGGTTGCCTCTGCCTGTTCTGCTCTGCAGGGTCAGCCTTTACCCCAGCCACAGTTTTAGTCTGTGGTAAACCGACTGCAAAGGCACAGCAGCACTGTAGGGAAACCCTGAAGATCATCTTGACCTTTGCTATCTAGAGAGAAAATGCTTCAAGTCGGAATGTGTTTACCATATTAATGCTAAAACAGTTCCATTATAATGACAAGCATGATGTTTCATCAAAATTCTTATGAGATTTATATGTGCTGTAGCTCTCCTTCAGATGGAAGTTGGATGTAAAACAAGCATATGTTTCTTGTTACAGTGCTGAAAAAAATCCATTGTTTCTGGGTTGACCGATTAAAAATTTAAAGAAATCAGTCTGACATAATAAACATGATCTTCAGCAATCAAAATGTATTTTTATATTTCACTATGTATTTAATAATAAAAACTTCCAAGTGAAGCACAGGTTTGCTTAAAAGTGATGAAAAATAATTCAAGCTAAAACTGTCATCAAACTGCAGCTCAGACTCTTACAGACATAATTTCGATGTAGTGAACTCAAACTACAAAAAGATCTCAGTAATTTATGGAATCTCTATAAAATTCATATCAAAAAAACTACATTAACCAAGATGAAGGTTTCAAAATCAGGAATTAGGAAATGCAAGATTCACTATTGCCTTGTGCATTATGATATGACCTTAAATTGCAGGCTCACATTTTTCTCAGTAGGCACTTCTCTCATTCAGCAATTCTTTTCAATCCTCTTCAGTGCACAGCTCAACTCTGCTTCCCAAAAGCACTTGGTATAGAGGTCACAAATGTATCAGCTTCTCTGTAAGTATTTCTGCACTTACCATCAGAGGAATAAGGATTGTGAGAATCCCTGTGAAATTTGCTCTTTGTACCACCATTGAGTGTATGGCCGAATACCAACACTTTCACTCAATATTTTCAGAACAGATCTACTGAACCCAGATATAGATGTGATTACTCTGCACTTCTGCAGATGTAGCCCCAAGCACCCACATATTAAGCATTTAGCAAAATTCTTAGTGGGCTTCTGTGAGCCAAGTGTCTTTCTCAGTGTTATAGAAGAACATGGTGACGGCAGCAGAAAGAAAATCCAGTTCTCCAAACCAAAGAATGGTCTTTCCTTCCGCATCAGACTTTTCTTCTTTTTTCACCTCTGGCAATTTGACCCCCTTTACTGTTATCAAGCTTTTCCTTAAAATGAGGCGACTTTGCAGATAGTGAGCTAATGGCTGCACAGTCTGCAGTCGCTGACTGAGGAGCACATAGCCTGCACAAGGAATATGGCAGGATCCCACAGAAAGCTGTACAGGTGGGAAGGAATCATTACAACTAATGGCAGAGCTGAAACCCCATTTTTATAAGTCCGTTCCTTCCCATTCCAGATATTTTTAACGATAAATGCAAGTATTCAAAAATGGGAATCATGCTGACCCTTCAACTTGTCACCAGCAGGATTCAGATCTTACATACAAGAAAACTCCAGTTTCTTCTAGCTACAGATTAATGCTTGTTTGCTCAGTGTACACTGAGGGGAACACCAGAGGGTGAAATATGAAATGTCTTCCAAGTTACTCATGCATTAGCCAGCAGTGCAAGCATACAAATCTCACATCACATATTTTAGAAAAGAGTTTACAGTCTCTAACACAAAACTGCAACAGCTCCTGGTTCCCAGGCAACAAATATCACTCTTGCACCCACTTCGTTCCTCACCATTTTTAGATAATCCTAAACGTTTCAAAGAAAACACCTCCATCTCTGCTAAAAAAAGATGACAAATAATATTTCCTTACAAACACCCTTCTAAAATACAACAGTATTCAGTGAAATTTTTCAAAATACTGCAACAGGAGATTACTGCACATTATGGAAATTTAAAGTTAAAAATTATCACTCCAAGTCAGAAGCATCTGGAAACACATCTAAATGAAAGCTGCTAAACAGCCTCAGTGAACAGGCAACCTCTTAACCTGGCTTCATTTTCCCTCTTCCCCTTGAGCTGCCATAAAAATGTAGAAAGACTCTTTTATTAACTTCTACTACTCATCTCTGACTCTTAAGATGTTACATTTGAGTGTAAGGGCATCAGTGATTTCGGATGCTTTAGGCCAATTGGAGCATGGCTGCTTTGCACTTCACTCAAAGCCTATTTTTAAGTGCCTGATACCAACAAAGCCCTTTTCTCTAAACCAAGTAATTTTTGAGAGATTTTTTCCTCAATCCAAACTTACAGTCAAATAAGCAGTGACTGTCTTTCTACAAAATTCTAACTTCTGTAGAAATTTGACGAGCTATGCCTTTCAATTATCTAATGGAAGTAGCTCTTTAGACTTCTAATATTATTCTAACAGATAATGAAATAGTTCTAATTCCATTAGAAAAGTATATTCTAATAATTCCATAAAGAGAAGTGAAACTTCACACCCTATTTGTCTTCTGGGAGAAAACCAGAAAGTTCTCAAAAATACATCAAATTAGATATGATTCAATCATTAGATTTTACTGTAGGAGATGAAAGAAACCTCCCAATCTTAATGTAATCTCCCCATAGATTTTTAAGGAATATTGGTGACGCAGATGTTTTTGCAGAATTTTGTTTTGCCACATCAGGCTGTGAATTTTTGAGGTAACTATTTCATGCAGGGATCACTGTATCCATCCTACAGGTGTAAGGGACTATAGCAAGCAGATGAAGGTTAATAACAGAGCAATGAGCAAAGCTAAAAGACAGCTTCCATTCAAACTTCTAATCCAGTATCATATTTCACTGATCATATCAATTGAAAAGTGCAGGTGTGTTTTCCTCTTTTTTTTTTCTAAACTACTCTAGCTTTTGGTAAATGGAGTGTTGCGTTTGGCAGACAAGCATGTGTAACAAAATGAAAAAGACAAAAACCTTGGGACTATCACAGAAGTTGTGTACTTCATACAGGCAGCTATATGACAGGCTTTGATTTTCACATCTAATACCAATAGCTGTCTCAAATTAACACTACCATTAAACTATGTGTCCTGGTTAGAACGGCTGGGACCAATTCATCCCTGGATGGGTGTA